TAATTAGACACTGCAGGCAAGAAGCCTCATGCTAATTGAATGTAGAAGGGATAAATAGTCCCAAAAGGTAAAAATATACGTTACTCCCCAGACGCTTCCGAAAAAACTGCATAAACCCGCGTCCGCAGACCTTTAGGGGCAACATTGCCAAGGAAATACGCAATAATTTGAGGGTGACTTCTTAGGGCACTGAAGTTGGTTGAATCTTGATAATGAACAACATTGGAGCTTCAGCTGCGACGAACCACAATGTGCCATTCCTGGTGTACAGGAGGGAGTGCGTTTTAATGCAGTCTTTCTTGAAGGAAACGCTTATCATTCTATATGCAGGGCTTATCTACTCTCACAGAATTCAACTTAGTTTCTTTGTACTTAGTTGTTTTTCTTTGTGGCGGTGAAGCATCCGGTTGTATCGCAGCCCGCTGCACCTTTTACCGTCGCTCACGTTGGCGAGGCAGCCGAGATCCGGTGCGGTGTTGCTGGGCGGAAGTCAGTCAGTGTGCGCCAATACTTGGTTGCGGTGTGGGCATGCTACGGGTAGCGCTTTGGTGTTGTTGGGGTTCATCGCGCTAGCGATCGTCGGTTCCCGGCTCGCGGAAGAAACAGGGGAAGCCGCAACTAGGGCATCGCGGTGGCGTCTTAGACCTCCAAGTGGGCGCAGACGCCGAGAGGCATCTGCACAAGGCTGCCAAGTACACAGGAACTGTCCGACTCCAACCGTCGACGCACGAGGGCATATGATCCCGACCAACCTCCCTGGGCTCGGGTTCGCGCCTCTCACCGATTATTTTTTTCTTTTATTCTAACCAGTTTATATGTGGAGTAGATTTGTATTTCATGGTTCCCTCAGGATTGAGCATAATCTGATTTCACTTACATATATATATAGATATATATATATATGTTTTGTCTACACTTTTGTGCTTTCTTTGATGTAAGCACTTGTAAGTGCATCAATATTTGTTTCTGTATCGTTATTTATTTTGGATCAGCGCCTTCGCTGTATTTAGGACAAGTTATTTTTTTCCTTGTCGGTGTGATGTCTTTTTAGGCGTTTGGGTGCCCGCTGACTTCTACTCTTTTAGTAAAGAACACTTATTTCCTTCACAACGTCTCTGACTCATTCCTCTAACCTCAAATAGTCCGTCCTCCAGGACATGGACCTGGCGTCCAGTCAGCGGCTCTATCAAAAAATATATATATTTGTTTTCACAAGAAGTGTGCCTTTCTTTTTTTTAGTTCTATCAAACCTGTGACAACTACAAATATCGCCATATAATCCCAGCTTCGCTTGTGCTTCTTTTCTGTATATTTTACTTGCATTATATTGGTTGCTTTTCAATATGTAGAAATACGTCTCCTTAATTGTAATTATATACGAAGGGGGACCCAAAAGAAACCGAACTAATTCTTTTTTAAGCAGAGCTTTTGCAGTACCGCGTTTTGCCGCCAGGAGTTGATAGAGCGAACATTGCTGAGTCATTAGGCCTAATTCCGTCCTCGAAGAAGGCTAGGACTAGTTGCGACTGGGTTTATAGTGACAAGTGTTTCGTGTGGGCGTCGTTGTTTCAATGTCTGATTTCTGTGAACAGCGTGCGGCGGTTAAATTCTGTTTTTTGCTCGGAAAAAGTGGAACAGAAACTATTGAACTGTTAAAAACGGCGTACAAGGACGATTCCATGGGGAAAACTCAAGTGTTTGAGTGGTTTTCCCGTTTCAAGAATGGCGACATGTCAATTGATGACAAACCTCGTACCGGTCGTCCTTCCACGGCACGAACACAGGAAAACGTTGAAAAAATTCGTGCAATCATCAACGAAGATCGACAACGGACCATTGACGAAATTGTGGAGCTGTCGGGAGTAAGTTGGAGTTCATTGCAGCGAATTCTGACAGAAGATTTAGGAATGAAAAGGGTGGCTGCCAAATTCGTGCCACGACTGCTGACTGCTGAACAAAAGCAAGGTCGCGTGGAAGCATGCTGTGCTTTGAAAGAAAAGTCCCGAAGTGACCCAAACTTTTTTTCAAAAGTTATTACAGGTGACAAAACTTGGTGCAATGGTTACGATCCTGAATCAAAGCAACAATCAAGCCAGTGGAAGACTTCAGGTTCGCCTCGCCCCAAGAAAGCTCGTCAGGTGAAATCAAACATCAAAACAATGCTGATTAGTTTTTTCGATGTGAAAGGAGTCCTCCATTCAGAGTTTGTTCCGCAGGGTCAGACAGTTAACCAGGCTTTCTACTTGGAGGTTTTGAAAAGATTGCGCAACAGTGTGCGGCGGAAGCGGCCCGATTTGTGGAAGTCGGGTGACTGGTTTTTCCATCATGACAATGCCCCGGCTCACACTGCCTTGTCTGTACGACAATTCTTGACCAAAAATGGTATGACCCCTGTTCCTCACCCCCCATACTCACCCGACCTTGGCCCGTGCGACTTTTTTTTGTTTCCTAGAATGAAAAGAGAAATGAAAGGAAAGCGTTTTGCTGACGTTGCTGAGGTGAAGAAAAAAACGACGGAGCCGCTGTCAAGCATCACAAAAGATGAATTTAAACAATGTTTCGACACATGGATTGAAAGATTAGACAAGTGTATTAGTGCAAGTGGACAGTACTTTGAAGGAGATTGAACGTTTGTACTTGAAATGGGAATAAATAAGTGCAAAAAAAATTTAGTTCGGTTTCTTTTGGGTCCCCCCTCGTATATACTTTCCTAAATAAAAATAACTGTAGCGTTGTTCATCCGACCAAACGCGATGAAATACGGTAGCATAACAGGAACATCGTTGGTGGATACAAATGACCGATCTCACATTTTTCGTCACGCCGCCGCTGCCGGCATGGATCATTTTGAACTGTAGTCCTTCGACACGCGCGAGATCCCCGCTGGAGATCTGCGCGAGCCGCCTTTAGATGGCTTGCACAAGCCGCGGAAGCCATCTTGTGTACTGACGCCTGTACCCTGGGAACTAAAGTAATAGTGGTGACACGCATCCGGAAATCGCTTAGTGAGATCGGTCTATTAGAAAATAAAATTGCATGGCGATGAAATAGTTGTAAACTGCCATACACACACCAAGGACGACGTGAAGAACGCCGTCTAGGACGACGGCAAGGACGACTTCACTGAGGACGATTTTTAGGACCACCTCTAGGATAACCTCTAAAAATCCCATAAGAACGATGTCGAGGACAACGTCCTACAGGTAATTGTCCTCACGTTCCTTTAGCCCACATCGACGACTTCTAGAGGACGACGTCTAGGACAATGTTTAGGACGACATCGAGGAGAACCTCAAGGACGACCTTCGACAACTTTGTTGAGGACGACATCAAGGATGCCAGGTCACGTCAGCTGGGTTACCGGCACTTACGACCTTACGCGACCGGCGTCTATGCGACCATGCGATTACGAGCTTACGCGACAGAAGATCAGTGGGCTTGGTGGCAGCATCATGAACAAATCGCTGAGATGTTTCTTCTTCGCTCTTCAGGTTGCCCTGTCGTCAGTGCCTGCTGGATGCTGTGACAGTGCAGCCTCGTCGCTGCTCGCGTCTCCTGGTTTTTGTGCTGACTCCGCACAATTTTCGGAATCTTCGCATCCTGCTATTGGCTCTCCGTCATCTTACTATCACCACGTTCAAGCACCAAACCTGGATCATCGTATGGACGGAAGTTCCGTGGCGACACCTACTTCCGCCGCCGAAACTACAAGACCACCGTTCCAAGCATTCCTCTTCAGTAGGCTTCGTGGCAGCATCATGAACAAATCGCTGAGATGTTACTTCTTCGCTCTTCAGGTTGTCCTGTCGTCAGTGCCTGCTGGATGCTGTGACAGTGCAGCCTCGTCGCTGCTCGCGTTTCCTGGTTTTTGTGCTGACTCCGCACAATTTTCGGAATCTTCGCATCCTGCTATTGGCTCTCCGTCATCTTACTATCACCACGTTCAAGCACCAAACTTGGATCATCGTATGGACGGAAATTCCGTGGCGACACCTACTTCCGCCGCCGAAACTACACGACCACCGTTCCAAGCATTCCTCTTCAGTGGGCTCGGTGGCAGCATCATGAACAAATCGCTGAGATGTTTCTTCTTCGCTCTTCAGGTAAAGCTGAGTCCTGAGCCTAATTCTCCTAGGTCCGATAACATATTTTTATTGCCGCTACCGGGCCCACTGGGTAGCTTCGTTTGTTCTTCCCTGTTTGCATGGTTTAGAGTTTGTTTTAATATTCTATTGCGTAGCGGCGATGTCGAATCGAACCGCGGCCCGGATACTCAGGTTCTTCTCAAACAGCTCCTTGATGGGCAAGCGCAAATAGCTGCTGATGTAACCTTAATAAAAAAACAGTCAAGCGACACTGCAATCTCAGATTGTGGGCATTGAATCACGTTCTGTTGCCATTGAACCTGAGTTTCACGGCTGTCTGGGCTCGACAAAAGGGTAGTCTCTTGAAGAAAAAATCGCCAGGCTCGATCATAGACTTGCCGAATTAGCTGATAAAAATGATGACTTGGAAAATCACTCTAGGAGGAACAATCTGATTATTTATGGTTTACAAGAAGCTGAAAATGAATCGTCAGCGTCACTGCTTCAGGCTGTCACTGAACTCTTGTCTTCCAAGCTTTCTATTTCCTGCGATGGCATCGAACGTTGCCACCGTCTTGGTTCACGCATAGATGGTAAGATCAGACCCGTAATTTTTAAAGTGATAGACCATAGAGAAAAAAATATTAATCCTTAAAAACGCCCCAAGACTTAAGGGCACTCGTGTGTTCATCAACGAAGACTTTTTCCCTTCGCGTGCGAAATATTCGCAGTCAGCTATGGCATGGTACGGCTGATTTTAGACAGAACGGTGCGAAGGTGGTTTTGCGCTACGATTATGCACTTGTCAATAATACTCGCTATACGTGGGATGTGTCGAACAACTGCCTTGTAAGGGTCAATTCCCCTCGCCTTCCGGATAATTCTAACTGACTTCCTCATGAAAACTCGTTTACTTTATTGAATCCCAATGCCAAGAGCATTCTCCCAAAGTCCACTGAATTTGCTGGTATTGCAACTGCATATTACCCTCATGTGATTTGTGTCACTGAAACGTGGTTGCATGACTCAGTTCTTGACTGCGATTTTACTCCACCTAACTACATTGTTGTGCGTTGCGATAGGTCATGTGGTAGGGGTGGTGGTGTTGCTTTATTTTTTAGGTCTGATGTTAGTTTTTCTGTTCTTCCTGGCTTGCCTAACACTGAGTCACTCTGGTGTAAAGCTTATATCGATAAATTTGTTGTTGTTATTGGGGCAGTTTATAGAGCTCCGGGTACTTCCCCTCAGCTTATTTTTGATATTCACGATTACATTTTAAAGCATAACTTCGGTGGTGGTAAATTCGTTCTGACTGGAGATTTTAACACACCTGACGTAAATTGGAAAACGTTCATAGTTGGTAGTCGTGATAAAATTATATGTGATGCTCTTGTTGATACTGCAGTGTCATTCGATTTAGATCAAGTTGTTAGTGAATGTACTAGAGATAACTCAACTCTTGACTTAGTTTTTCTTAGTAACAGCATTGCCAAATCTGGTTATGAGTGCACAGTGGTTGATGGCATTTCAGACCACAGAGCTGTTGTTGTGACACCTAATATTCGTGCCTTACATGTAAAACCCGAGATTGTTACTGTTTTAGACTTTAACAGAGCTAATGACGAGTCAATTCTTGTCGAACTTAGTTTTGGCTTTGATGATTTCGAGACCTTTAGCCGTGACTATAATGTTGATGAGTTGCTTAGCAAATTTTGCTCATTAGTAAGTGATTGTATTAAACGATTTGTACCAGTCAAATATAAAAAGACAAATCAAGCCCAGCCATGGATTACAAGAGGGGTATTGCAATTAACCCGCAGACTAAAAAGAAATCGGAAATTAAAACTTAGTGATAGTCCTTCGGAGGTCAAACGGTTTGAAATCCTAGAAAATAGATTAGTGGAAACAATGACAGCTGCTAAATATACTTATTTCAACGTTACATTGACTAACTTTATGAAGTCAAATCCGGCTAAGTTTTGGAGGTCGATCCTTCCTAAAAATGACATTTCCCGCAGTTTTATTATTGAAGATGAATGTGTCACTAACCCCGCAGACATTTCGAATGGCTTTAATGCACATTTTCAGTCCATATTCAATGAAGATAACGGTTGTGAACCTTCCTTTTCTTTCAATCTCCCGTGTTCGTCGTTAGAAAACATTCCCATCAGTACTTCTGGCGTCCTTCATTTGCTCCTAAACATTGACTGCAAAAAAAGCGCAGGTCCCGATGGTGTTCCTAATTCATTTCTTCGCCGTTACTCTCTTCGGACATCGAGATACTTGGCCTTAATCTTCGAGAAGTCTCTCTTTTCTGGAAGAGTTCCTAAACTTTGGAAATCAACCAGAGTTGTTCCCATCTTTAAATCTGGAAACAAACAGAGCCTTCTCAATTACAGACCTATTTCATTGACCTCTACCTGTAGTAAGCTCCTAGAGCATATAGCCTACTCCCATGTTTCCGAATACCTCGAATGCAATTCAATTATCTGCCCTCAGCAACACGGTTTCCGTCGTCATTATTCAACCATCACGCAACTACTGCTATTCACACATGATATCGCCACGACTTTAAATAATAAAGGACAGGTTGATGCCATATTCATAGATTATTCGAAGGCATTCGATAAAGTTTCTCATGCCAAACTACTGTTGAAGTTAAAGGTCATACTTAAAAATCCCCTTTTACTCGACTGGATCACTGATTAGTTAAAAGGCCGGTCACAGTTTGTTTCGTATGGGAATGCTAATTCATCAGAAGCTACGGTTAGTTCAGGTGTTCCGCAAGGATCCGTATTAGGGCCCCTTTTATTTCTCCTGTATATTAATGATATTGTTGATAACATTCCCGTTAAAGTTCGTCATTATGCCGATGACTGCGTCCTATATAACGATATTCATTCGGCTAATGACCAATTGTTACTTAATGAATCCTTCGCACGCTTCTTCAATAGGACCAAGCAATGGCAAATGGAAATAAACTTTGAAAAATTTGTGTTAATGAAATTTACGAATAAGAAATCACTTTCGTTTTTAGCTATGGCATTGATGAAATAGAACTCAGGGAGGTAAGCGACTTCAAATATTTATGTATTATTTTTACTTCCAACCTTAAATGGGATAAGCACGTCGACTATATTTGCTCCCGCGCCCTCAGAAAATTGGGCTATGTTAAACGCACGTTAAAAATTCGTCTAAAGAGGTAAAACTAACTGCTTTTAAAACTCTCGTGAGGCCGATTTTGGAGTACGGTTCAGTGGTCTGGGACGTTCATTTAAAAAAGGACATTAATCTCATTAACTCTGTTCAGGCTAAGGCTATCCGATTTATTTTCAATCGATATGATCCACACTTTTCACCTTCATCCGCTTTGCCAACATTAGGGCTAGAATGTTTATCGTTAAAGCGAACTTTCGAGCGATTGAAGTTGTTATATAGAATTGTTAATAATGAAAGTGGCATTGAATGTATGAAGTATATTTCCTTCTCAGATATTTCGCGCACTAGGCGTTACCATCCCTTAAATATTGTACCCTTTCGTTCTCACGTAAACTGTTTCAAAAATTCCTTTTTTCCGCGCACTGTTGAGCTGTGGAATAGTATTGACGGCTCTACGCGTATGCTCCAGTATGACGACTTTGTTATAAAACTCGCGAAAGTTGACTTCCTTTGATGTTTGGTGTTTCTGGCGAATCATTATGTTGTTTATTATCCTCTCTACTCATGTTTTTAGTTGTGTAATCCACTCCTGCAATGACCTCAACTGAGGTCGCAGTATACATAAATAAATAAATAAATAAATAAATTACGCATGAGTCAAACTCGACTCTGCCACGAGGACTTCACCCACGGGCGTGAAGTGACCTTGAGCGTTGTTGGGACTATACAGCTACCGCTTTAAAGCACTTCGAATTATAACCGCACTTGGCAGGTACTAAAAAAAACACTATGAGCCCATTATCGGCCAAGAAATCACCGGCCTTTGCTAAATATTTTTTTCAAAAAGCGTGGGTCCTGTCGAATAAAGACGATGAAGGAAATTTGATACCAAGACAAGAATGCAAGGAAAGAAGACACCGAGGTATCGTGGACGAGACTGATTCCTTTCTTAATCCCATCTCTTTTTGTACGAAATATTACAAATTCTTGGTGCGGAAGCCCGGAAGAAACAAAAAGCTGCTATAGAGAAGAGACGATATGGGGTGATTTAAGCCACTGTCACGAGCTCGTCAACAAGATCACATTGACTTTTGACATAACTTCGTTACCAGAAGGTCAGTTCGAAGAGAAATTGAACTTCCTCACGTTAAATGAAGGTTCTCTCTACCAACTGACGGCGGAGACCCCAAATCTGGTGGGTGACGCTGAAATGGAGTCCGTAGCGCTTGCCTGCACGTCGTACGAGGAGTTTATAAGTAACGCCAAGACATTAGCAGCCAAGTTTTTATGAAAAAGACGTCAGAACACCATTGATGCAGTTAATTCTGATTCCAACCACAACCTTCAATGTGGTGGCTCAAGAGAACGTAATTCAAACGAACGCTACGCTAAACATCCACGCTTACAACTTTTCAAGTACAACAAAAATCTTGTTAAGTGGCTGACATTTTTTGGATCTGTTTCAGTCACCTATTCACTAAATCCTGATCCTGTCTCCATTTGACAAGTTTGCATACTTGATAATTAAAGTCGGCAACACCGAAGCAGTTTTTAAAATAATTCTTACAAATAACAGCAACTGCAGACATTTGTAAGAATGGCTGAAGTTGAGCACCATTGAGCACCTAGAAAGAGGTTCATTCAACCTGCCGTGATCGTAAAAAAAACGATTTTCTCACCTCATGAACCAAGCCCAACGCATCCTTCGAAGACACAGATGACCTCAGAACGCGTCATGACGATGTCATCACCCGAATCGGGAATCTCCAAAGGACTACATGCCACATCGTACGGAGTGCATGTCCACAACGTACTTAAAAGAGCACCTTATCCTGACCTAATGTTGAGCTGCAACCGACATTTAGCCTATCAAAATCCTTCAAGATGTGCGGAAGACGACTTCACCAGATTTATCATATTCATCGACACTGAAGTGACTACAAGAAAGAAGTGTCTTCAACTTTCCGACGTTATTCAAAGAAAAAAGAAAATCCCTCACGAGAAGCACATTCAACTCTCCGCACGTTATTCAGAAGAATATCTGCTTTTGGAGACTATGTTGTGTTTCCTTCATCTTTTCCCCAGTCTCGGGGGTTTGTAAAAAATTATCTGCTTCTGCTCTTTCTGCCGTTGAAAATTTTGACTCATTACACTCTATATATTGTAACTCTCATGAGCGGTCTTCGAAGGAATGCACAGCACCCCCAACAGCGAAAGAAAATAAGAAAAAAAAATGTAAGCAGAAAAACAGGTGCTTCCGAAGCGCAAAACAGTAGATAGTAAAAACGCAAAAAACAATTTTCTTTGAGAAGTGTGGCCGCAAACAATTGACCGTCTTGTGTGACCTAAATAAAATAATACAGAACAGCCTTCTCACATCCCTAGCCTCCCAGACAGCACACGATGTCGGGCCACTCTTGGCATTTAATTGGCAAATATTTGTCCAATGTTGGGCTAATGTGTCTATCGTAAAACCAATATTGGTTGTAGGCTGGAATATACTGGCAAACGTTGGCCTGACTTGACCAACGGCTCACCAACGTTGGTAATCGATTGGCTTATGGTGGCCGACATTGGCCTATCTCAGCCAATGGCTTACCAACGTTGGCAATCGATTGGCCTAGACTGGCCAACGTTGGCCAATCTCACCCAACGGTCTAGCAACGTTGGCACTCGGTTGGCTTAGGTTGACCAACATTGGCCTGTCTTAGCCAATTGGTTACGAAAATTGCTAATCAATTGGCTTAGGCTGGCCAACATTGGTTTATGTTAGCCATTGAATTGCCAGCATTGGTTGTCGACTGGCTAAGACAGGCCAATGCTGGCCAGCCTAAGCCTGGCCAACATTGGCCTGTTGACTAAGACAGGTCAATGTTGCCAGCCTAGGCTGGGCAACATTGGCCTGTCTTAGCCAGTGGCTTACCAGTGTTATAATTAATTGGCTTAGTTCTTTTAATGTCCTGATCGCGCACACTGAGAACAGTCTGTAGGTATGGCCCTGGGGGGGACGATTCTTCTGTTTTCACACGCAGAGCAAGTTAGCGTCTTAATTAGAACGCTGTATGCATTGCGAGCTGTAGCAATTTTGAACGTCCACGAAGAAAATAACCGTAGTCGGGGACAGGTTAAAAGTAAACGCTGCGGAGGAGGTCGCCTCCTCCCGATCTTTCGATCTACAAATATGGAAAGAGATGGGAGGAGCTTCTACCACCTGTCACCGACTATAACTAACACGCGTCTTCCCAAAACTGATAGTTATGCTCAGTAAATTACACACGAAATACAAAGCGCACGCTTCCTTCGATTTGTGTATATGTTTATACGGCAAAAAGCATAGTGCCTCTTCTCTTATGCCCATTTAGCGACGCAGCCGGGAAACCTTTCCAAAGGGGAGGGGGGGGGAGGCAGGGTTCAACCCCGAAAGCTCCACCCGCCTCCCCGTACCTAGGACACGTGTGTATTGTCAGCTGTATGTGATCTTGAAAATCTCAAAGCAACCCGCTTTGCTGAGCCGCAAAACACGGCCTATAGTTCAAACGAAACCGGACAAAATTAAAAATAAATAAACAACACTTATATTTTTGGCAACAAAATAAAACCTTAAACAAATATCCAGCTATTGATTAAGCAATTACATGTCTTCACGAATAAAAAATCGCGTTGAATTAACATCTCGAACACCCTATGTTTGAGGTAGAAGGTGACATAAAGTTGATGCGCATTTCAATCTGCAAACAAAGGTTATCACGCAACATACAACAGAAGGAGCTGAGCATTAAGTCTGCTTGCCTAAAAATGACTTCAAAGTGCGTACAAAATACATCTGCAATAATGACTACGGTAGTGACAACACCCGCAGAAATATAAACTGTAATAGAGCCAATGGGTTTCCAACGTTGGCAATCGATTGGTTTAAGCTGGCCACAATTTTTCTGTCTTAGCCAGTGGCCTACCAACGTTAGTAATTGATTGGCTTAGTCTGGCCAACAGTGGCCTGTCTTAGCCAATGGCTTACCAACATTGGTAATCGATGGGCTTAGGCTGACCAACGTTGGCCTGTCTTAGCCAATGAGTTACCAACATTGAAAATGTGTTGGCGCAAGGTATCAGTGTGCCTCGTTTTCTAGAACCGAGCATTAAAACGAATGCAGTACTCTAGGCAATGAAGATCACTGTTGCCAGAAGGCTTCTTGCTAAAAAGGCTGCTAGGAAGACGCTGTAATTAAATAAGTTATTCATGAATTAAAACTGGTAACCAAACTTTATTAAATACTTATTTCAGGGAAAAGGTGTCAATTGAAAAGTTGTATTTTGAATAGATTCTTGATGAAGAAGTTTACAACATGGTACACCCCAGGCAGCACACTTGCTTAGACTAGCGATGGCGCCAAGATTTGGCCTTGGTCACACTAGACTGGACCGAGACTGCCCAGGGCATTTGGTGAACTGCCAGCATGGAGTCTCACTGTATTTCCGGAATTCCACGGAACTGCCAGGGAAGGGATTTTCTTGGCGTCTTTTGTCTCTTTTTGGTCCGAGCCGACCAGAGTAGACAGGCGAGCGGTCACCAAAAATTAAAAAAAAATTGTAATTCGTCATTGTAATCACTGGCCTCAGGATCCCACGGAACTACAGCGGAGTGGTTTTGGGTGGAGTCTATTAGCTTTGGAGGATTCGGCGCGCCAAGAAACTACTGACGTTGTCACGAAGCTCTCTAGAAAATGCAAGTCTCGAAAATCAAAAGATCAGTTCATAAGTGTAGAGTGCGAGCCGAATGAACGCAATAATAGAGTCAACAAATTAATCCCTCGATGACCATTTACAGCATTCATGTCTCAAATCGCCACATCTGAAACTGGAAAAACCGCGAGATAATTTTTCTCTGTTTATTTTTCAACATCACGCATCGTCGCAACTGTTCAGGTACTTCGCGGCTACTCTGCTTCAACTTAGTATGAACCGCAGCCCATGCTACGGGTTCTCTTGGCCTATCAGGCGCCAAAAAGGTTGTCATGCTGCGCGGGAGATGCGTCAAGCACTGGAATGGCTCCGCAGGCGTTTGCAAGGTCTCAACGATAAAGCAGCCTCTTGTAACACCAGTGAGCTGACGGTGCTCGGAGTTCCCACGCTCACTTTACAACAGAGTGTGCGCAATCGGCCAGACCGAGGCGCAGTCGGTTCTCATGCCGCGATTGCTGCGCCGTTGCTCTGTCTTGCACCGACATTCGAAACAACTCGCTCGAGGCTGCATGCGGAAAAAATTTACGAGTCTATAGCGCGATATAGTGTCGCTACAACGTGTAAAAAGTAGTCCTCACCTCGACAGGGGCGCTAGCAGCGGCGCTATGTCCGTCGACGCCCACGTCGAGAACGACGAAATATACATTAAAAACCTTTTTAACACCCGAAACAAATGTTTAATTACTTAATTGTGAATTTTGCGCCACCTTAGGGACTTCCTATTACGTCACTGTTCTGTAAATTCCTCAAACGTGCAGACACTATTGCTGATATGTCTCTTTTTTTATTATTCTGCGATATGATAAGTCGTTAGCACTTTCCAGCCCAGAACCCCCCCATGTGTTGCCATCGTTTTGTGAGATTCGCGTTTTTTTTTTTTTTCTTTTACTTCAACTTTAGGAATCTTTGCATCTGTGTTGCATTTATGATTACACGGTTTAAGAAGTGGTACAGTTTTCGTTACATATACACGACCCTCGCGATATAAAAAAAAAATCTGTTAGCGTGCTGCGAAATATACGACATAGGTTATTTCTGAGTACTATTTCTTTCTTTGTAATTTCAGTTTATTTGGAGACATCGTGCGGAGAAAGAAGACGCTGTTATTTTTGCATTTTAGTTTAGAGTGTGTGTTTTACGGCGTAAAACATGGCATCTTCATGCCTCCCGTTTTTGGTTAACATTTGGGAAGGGCAGTTCCTTCGGTACTCCAAAAACTATCTCGGCGAGAACTGTTCTTGGCAATGCAGTGAAAAGGAGGAGAGCCCGCGCACAGCTACATTCAGCGCTCAAGCAGGGAGAGGGAGGGCGGGCCTGTACCTTCCACTGCATTACCAAGAAAAGTTGTCACCGAGTAGCCTTCGTACTGCTGTCCTGTTCACTCGATATTGACAGCAGAGTAGACGCTATGCGTGTTTTAGGCCAGGCGTGTCTCCGGTTACGGTCACGTGACTATAGTCTCCAAGCGGGTCACAAGGCAGAGAACAGCACCTGCCTGAGGGACACTGCTTGGTAGACCACTCACATAGCATCCACTGCACTATCAACTTT